TGGGACACGCCCGACTCGATTGATATGGGGTCAGATAAGGAACTCCGGACTCTTACCATTAATTGTCGTTGCAGGAGAGAGTTTGCGATCCACCTCAAGGTCAGCGATCCGGTTATATTGGAGCTTGGAAAGGAGACTTCGGTGGTATAGGCCAGCCACTCTCAACTGGGGCCATATGACCCCCTGGGGGCCCTGAGATGTGAAAATATTTTAAGGGAGCCATGTGGGCATACGGAACCATGCTTTGAAATCGGATCGTGATAACCCAAAAAAGAAAAATTATTTTTACAACACTTTCTGATAGTTTCTCTCCCCGCCCTAATCTCCCCTGGTAACTAGCAATCGGTGAAATGAATTAAGCGCTCGCAAGTGCCTGTTTACGAAGGTGTGAAAGCCAGGTTGAGCAGACTTTCTGTTGCGGAACTGGTATAGCTCCGTCAAACTTGCGCAAATTTCCCCAGGCTCCCCTCAAACCTACAATCACTACACGGCGATTTAGACTGCGCAACTAACAACAGATTTATCCTCAGGACTTTGAGGCCTAACCACAGTGAACCAACTGAGCTTTACTCCGAACACTGATGCATATACTGGGCAGGCTTCAGTGAACCTAGCGAACTCTCGTCAGAACACCGCACAAAGCCACACTGACACTGAGTTTTCCTCAGGACACTAACACTGTATGACAACTCATGTGCCGGTCAGTCTTTCTCGTTCGGGTCGCAGTGCGGTAGCGCTGTTACGCGCTTTTCCTCTTCAATCTCATGTCGCGTATTCGTCAGGCGGCTAGCTCACATTAGTTCGCAAGGTTCCGAATTCGAATGGCTACTCTGCGCGCGTGGGGTACTGTCTCTGAAGACCGTTCTTTTTTCCTGATTGAGTCGGAACATCTTGGACGCGTAATAACGCTTTTTTCAAATCCATTTCAGCTGAACTTTTCGAATTGGCAGGCAATTTTGTCTTGCGCGTGGATATCCGGTTTCTTTGGGGAGTATATGTAGCATAATGTGTACTTAAGGATACTCCTCCTAATGCTCATCATAATCACATGCCTTTCCAACACGCATTTGGAACCAAGTTAGGCAACCGCCGATGTGTGTTATCAGTTTCGTTTTGGACTCGCCCGTGCCGGTTTCTTGAACTATCCAGCATTCTCTTCCGTGTTCGTCTCTTCTCTCTTTCATTTTCCTGTTGTCACTGTTTGGTTTAATTTTCCTGTAGTGATTATGTGTCTAGTGAGCATTGTCATTGTTTGAGTTCCATTTGTTTTCTTCATTGGCTCCTTTCAAGAAGTTTGCTTCAGTCCATTTAGCTTTCCACGGTATTTTCAATAGCATTCTCAGAAACCACCTTTGGGTTGCATCTAACAGTGTTTCTACACTTTCACATGTTAACAATGTAGCCACCAACAGGTATTACAAGTATGCTTACTATATGTCTTATCTGACAGTCAAGCAAGAATAAATTGTGGCACCAAAAGTCCATATCATCTGCGTGTTTCGCCTTGTCCAACGATGTTATTTAATACCCATGGTAAAACTGTGTAGGAAAAATAAAACAATAACAAATGAACCATTTGCAATGATACATCTCAAAAACTAGCTCCTGGGCAGTACTTCGTGGATTACTCGTCAGCTGGATTCATCGCATCACCTCGAAATCCCACTCTACCTATGTGTTTAAATTGTCAACATCCTCTTACAAGTAAATTGAGAAAATCATTTGGAAATTGATCATAGGGACTAAAGAGGAAAGTATGTGGCTTTTTTAACAGAGCTGTGGGATAGTTTCGAAAACAGACCAGGTTTAAAGACTAGTTTATGGCAGGGCAAAAAATAGCAGGTGGATTTACGGTGTCTTATAAAACCAGCAAGTTGATTGCCAAACATTGCAGTCCGCATAATGTTGAAAAAAATATTTTCTTGCCTTCAGTATTATTGATCCTGTCGGATCTGAGGTATATAAATCCCTGAGACGCAGTTCAAGCCATTCCGCTTAGCAATTCGACTGTATCTAGGCGAATAGATAAGATGGTTCAGCATATAGAAAGCACCTTGGTTACTGTACTAAACTCCAGAAAACTTCCGCTACAACTAGATGAATCTTATTTATCTGACGACGAGGCTCTTCTCGTGGCATCTGTTCGCTTCTTAAATGATAATGAATTAGTGGAAGCGATTCTATTTGTCAGGAGAAGTAAGACTTGTGCAAAGGGCCACTCTATATTTGAGGTAGTCACTAGCTATCTGACTGAAAACTCCATCACAATACAGAACATGGTTCCACGTGCAACAGATGTGCTGCCGCAGTGGTCATAAGATATAAAAAATTTATTGCCTATCGAAAACGTTTCCTTTTCCTGTTCATGCAATTCACCGTGTGGTTCATCGCGAACACCTAGTGGCTAAGAATTGGGGAGGGCGCTTAAACGATTCACTGTCAACTGTTATAAAAGAAGGCAACCATGACAATTCAACTCTCCAAAATCCTCTTTTCTAACAGTTGTGTGATTAGAACTGTGAAGATTTCCATGTTCTCTGGTTGCATACAAAAGTTATGGCTCTCCAAGGGCAACTGTCTTCGCCGTTTTGTTACACTGTGAGACACCAGCACATACCTTGCTGGAACTGATTATGAATGTAAACTGTTAACAACTAAGTCAGATGTCTTTTACCTGGCTGTTGTTTTTGAAAAACTAATTTTTTTAAACAAACTCTTGAAGACAAGTTGTGTAATCTGATCTCGAGTAAAGAGGCTATTATCACCTTCCTTATAATGCTGGAAGTGTGTGCTCAAAACATCGGACGTCTGGCATTTCACAGTTCCCAATTCTCGCTACAGTCACGGAGGAGCAGAAGGATGAAGACTTGATTGTTTATGTCAGTCATTTACAACAACTCCGAAAAGAAATGAAAGACTAGTTTCATAATCTGATTGACATAGAAATCCCGATTTGAATTTTAGGTCCATTTGATTTACAGCCATGCGAAGTGGGAGTTGGCTTCCAGCAAAATCTCACTGAGCTTCAAATTGACACACTAGCACGATACAAATTCATATAATACGAAAGGATTTTTTATAACATATCCTAACATATCCCATACGGTGGGAAATGGCTGAAATATATTTCCTTGCTTTTCCATCCATCTACTTGACTGCATGTGGATTCAGCATAGTGGTTTCTCTAACGAAAAGTAGAAACAGATTGAACTTCATAGCAAGGGGAGACACTCGTTATCAAGTCTTGAGCCGCACATAAACAGGCTTGCTCAAAGACATCAGGCTTAAGGCTCGCATCAGTATTTCGATAAACCCATTCTTACGAAGTTACTGTACCCATTAATACATGGCATGCCTTACAGTTAAAAGCCGGTCGTAATTACATACAATTTTGAATATTAATGATGACTTCTGTGTAAGCACCGACAAGTGGCTTGATGTTGCTGCACAATGCATGTTATCTTGAGGCTGTGAAAGGTAAAATGGGGTTTACTAGCATACCGACACTAAAAATTTAGCCGCCGTAACAAAAGATTCCAGTATGACCACTGGAAATCACAGATTTACGTCTGTTGGGCATTACGGATTGCCGAACTTGTGCTGCTCAAGAGTGGGGGGCCATGAGAACTGGAAAGCTTCAAAAGGGGGCGACGTCTGAATAAAGGTTGAGAATGCCTGATCTAAATGATTGAACGCCTCCGACAAATCCAAGTAGACCACATCAACGGAGGTGTTAAACATGTTAAACGTTATTTAAAGTCATATCTGATCATGGTAAACCCTTAGTCTCACATTCACTTTTTGCCTCTGTTCGCACCCGAGTACACGCCCAGATAAAACGGCTGTCCGTCTTATTGCGCGGACAGGATAGCACAGTCCATCGTGGTTGGGTGCATACGTGATTGTGGTTCACAGCCTCACCAATTACGGAACTTGTTAAGCACTCATTTTATTTCCGGTGCGAACTCATTGGAGCTGTAAATTCACCCTTCATGGGTGCATGAAGCACATTCTTGATTTGACTTGACTCGCTTATTTTATTTAAGTGTCACACTAGTTTGAAAAACAACTGGTGCTATCCGTGGTACATGAACTAAGACTGTCGCATTATTAGTCGCATTAAACTCTTAGTGTGCAGCTTGGCACAGCCAATCGCATCCCTTCTCGCCATTGTCACCTAGTTTAGTTGATTACTACCTGCAGGGTATTTTTCCATAAACACAACAGGGTATCTGTTGCTTTCCAGCGCATTGCGAATAAAACCCTTTTCGGCTTTCGTTTCTGGATTATAATCTCCGGTGCTCCACTCGTGCACACATTGCACTTGGTTCCTCCGGATAAATTAGCATAGCAGCCTAGCATTGTTGTTTTTTTTAGAAAGGCTTTCTTTCAAGCTATCCATCATCATCCGTTTTTGTCTCTGTTGCACCTCCAGCAGTTCAAGGTTACCACTGTTCTCACTCTCCAATCAAATTTTACTGCTAAACGTGAATCGTTAATTTGATCCCCTAAATGAACATAGCCCACATTGAAATCACATGCAATCAGTTTGTCGTTTGTGTTCCTCTGATGCGAATCAAGAGATACGATCTTGCGATAGATAGGCGGCCTGATACTTAGCCTATCGGACCCATGTGTGTGTATGTTCTCTTCTTGTTGCTAATGTGGGTCACTTCGGGTTGATGGCTACTATCCAAGTCGTAGGCATTCGTGCTCAATTCGTCTACCAATTGGGGTTTCATTCTGTCTTTTTTCGCCAACATCTTCGTATTTGTGCTGTTTTTTAGTGATTGATCTCACCTCTCATTTTAAACCTTTTGTTTTGCTAGGAATTCCGCAAGTGGGAAGCTGTACACTCTTCAGACAGAGGTATTCGGTCTGTACACTTCCTTGGTAGATTTATATCTGCACTCATTGCCCATTACGCATCCCATTTTCGATGCGAACGCACTTTGTGACACTAGACATTGGTTACGGTGTATTGTTTCTCCCAACCGCAGGTTGAGGATTGTTTCAATCTTCTAAACACAAGTGTTCATGACGCCACGGTATCTGCCAACGAGTTGCAATCGATGATCAGTGGGTTAGTACGGATGGACTCGGACATGGGCGGTAGTTTTGATGCCTGCGGCATGTCAGCCGTCTCGTTGGCCTCGGCAATGGCAGGCTTGGTGCAAGCCACTCGGGGAATCGTGGCTCATGAAGGCACCACCAGAACAACAACTGACGATCGTACAACTGCTTTCATACCAGTGGTGGAATCCACACGCCTGGCTGTTACACAGGATACTCGTGAAGCTGTTCAACTGGCCTACGAATTGGTTAAGGCGGCGAGTGACTCTCGATCAGCATGTGACTCTGATCCATCTCTTAGTTTGCCTACCGTCCTCAGCCACAGTGAACAATTACATGCGCAACTTTTAGATGCTTTGAGTCGATGTCTGCGCGGCCTACCCGGACATCGTGAAATCGGCGAGGCTACGCATCTGATAGGGGAACGGCGAGAACGGTTGGTTCAGCTGTCCCATTCAGCTCCCACACGAACAGTGCAATGGGTGGAACCTGAAATGTACGAGCAAACGCAGTCGGATCTAACGCGCGGCGCTGTTGAGTTCAATCAAGTAAGTGTTCAAGAAGCCTATTTATATGCCCTCCGCTCTGTTGTGGCGCACCTTTTATGTTACCTCGCTACCAAGAGGCTGCTGACTTTACTTTCCGCTCCACATAAGGCTGTTTGTTGTGTTGGCCTCGTGTAAAATTCAAGCCTACCCCCTTTACCAGCAAGCATTTACTTGTCCCACAACTGAATGCTTCACAGTCTAAGCCTCCATTGAGCTCAGTGTCTTTCTTTATCTGACATTTCCTACCACACTTTGCTCTCCCGATCGTTACTACAGATGAATTTATCCCGTCTTCTTCTACATTAGCTTCTCAATCATCTGATGGTGACACACAACACGCATGGCACACTTCTGTTCCCAGATATCGTACAACCGCATTTGAGTAGGCTGAGACAGAAGGAGTGCACTTTGAAAATGCGAGGTTCTATTTTAGTTTGGCCGACGCACCACTGCTTTTACATTTTCGCCACATAGTCACTTGAAATGTTCGATCGGTTTACCCGTCTGCGTAGTTCATTGTTTCCAGAGAATCACTTTGTGCATCGTCAAAGGCTACGTGCTTTTAATAGCCTCTTTCGCCTGTTAACTTACGGTATGATGTGATTTGATCCTTCCGCTTATTGGCTGGATGTCTAACCCCGCGCTACATCCACTGTTACTTTATGAGTCGGATCACTGTGCGTTTTGTACACAACGGGACTGGTTGTGCTCGGCCCTCGGTGACTACGAATCACTACTACCTATCAGATAATAGGCCATGAGATGGGCCTCGCCACTAATTGCGGCACTACCTGGGCGGCCAGCACCAACAATAGCTGGCGGTCTGTAGACGAATAGACACTGTCAACAGTCGGATGATGCGTCGTCATGCACCACCACTTCAACAGTCAGATACATTAGAATCTTCTCGTGCATGATTATGCTCTTTTTGGTGTGTTCTTGAAAAATAGAATCGCGTTGACTCCCTGTCCGTTAGTAACTACAAACCACGTCAGTGGTTAACTCCACAACGCGAAACATAAACGGAACATGATCAGACCATGTAACCGATACAACATATGTGATAATCCTGATAATCCCATCTGATAATCCCATCGAACTACTTCATATTAGCACTGGATACAACTTTCACATGCAACTATGCTAACCCCGGTGAACACCATTTGTTATTGGAGAGGCGTCTGACAATTCACCGGAGGGCTTGACGCGACCTGTGATGTTTGAGTACAGAGCCCCTAGAATGCTCACATATTTCTTGGGAACACCCTTCCGACTAAATAGGTCGAAGCTGGAGCGATCGACCGGGTCCGCAAAATCTGATATCCAATAATCTGTGTGCATGGAATTTTGCATATGTGCGACTTTTTACCGATCTTTGCTTAACCGGACCATCGTGCTAAACGTGCATCTTCGTATTCACTGTGGGCCAACACCTCGTTCCTTGTACTCGACAAGATTTACGTGTCCATCAATGAATCCACTTCGGGTGATAACGACGTGCAAACCCCTGAGCTACACAAACAACGGCAAAGCTTTAATCAGCAGTTTCTTTGTCTACCGGAATCTCTTTATTTTTCCTACATTTTCCCTCAGCGGCTTACTGTGTCATTAAATGAGTAGATCTTTACAGCGGAGTAGTGGGGGGAATTGAATGGTTTAGGTAGAAATTCGTCACCTCTAGACTCACTCAGAGAGCCAGAGCATGCCCGGAAAAGTACTGTACGCGCGTTTCATCCTATCGTGAATCGTCAGCAGTGCGCATTCCATCGGACCCTGGTAGGGCTCCAACTCGCAACTCGACTGTTGGCAGTCCGTTGTTGAGACAACTGAGCTACGGGGGACGGCAACGACCATTCAACTCCCTCTACTACTCCTCTGCAATCAGTACGCAGACCAAACCGTTTATAATGCCATAAGTTAATTGGCGGCTGAAGTTTGGTAAGCTCGTCGCTTGGTGAGGAGGCTACCGTGTCATCTGCACGGCAGTAACGTGTAAGTCAATGGATAGTGAGCGGTGCTATATCGCATCTAGTAACTAATTCACGATGATCGTTGCCGTCCCCCGTAGCTCAGTGATCTCAGTCACGGATTGGCAACAGTCGAGTTGCGGGTTCCAGGCCTACGAGGGTCCGATGGAATGCGCACTGCTGACGATTCACGATAGGATGAAACGCGCGAACAGTGCATTTCCGGGCGTGTGACGGCTCTCTGAGTGAGTCCAAATGTGGCGAATTTCTACAAATGTATATTTATCTAATTATTCTCTACACTGTGAGGCACGCTTTTGTTGACATGAGAATGATAATGCAGTTATGTACCGTGCAGCGATTATATGCTAATCGAGGGAACAGGTTCTTCTTTGGATACAGTCCGTTGTGAGAGCACGTGAGGCCGAATGAAGTGGAACGGAACTACTCCGATGAAAAGGAGAACGTGAGAGTGTACTTATAATATTTTTGGTAAAGATCTCATCGACGAATCATTTACATGCGGATAGAAGAGGACCAAATTGCAAACCGGTTGTTGAAAGGAGTAGAATGTTTTGTGATTATTGTGCAGAAATGAGAGAGATGCCATCAAGTTACATTTTGATTCATTATAAAGCAAATTTTCTGTCCGTTCTGCCAATTTGTTGCATGGCTGATGCAAGTAGGTCAGGTCAGTTTCCAAGGATGAAAATAGGCTCTCGCCTAACCAGCGTCCTGTTTCCTGTACCGAAAAGTAAACCAGGGCCTCCAGTACTACGACTTCTTGCCTCATTTATTTTCGGGATCTATCCACAGAAATTTGACAAGTTTGTGTAAAAGGAGTGAGGTTGAACTTCCTAATCCATTGAGCATCTAGAGTCCAGTTCTGCCGTATTGGATCCTCAAGAGATTCTAACCTATTGACGAAGTGGGTATTTTATGTATCTCAATGTACATCCATGATTGGAAGAATAGGTGATCACTTGAAGTTCAAGTTCATTAATCCACTGAAAACAACGTGCCTTCGACTGTACTTTAGGTGTTAACCTCCTGTTCCTCCAGACACTCCTAACTTCCTGATTTGAGATTTTATTATTTAGAGCATTACGAACTTGTCTTTACGGCTCCATTCATACACTCTTCTCTTTCATCACTGAGTCGCAGTCGGTAAGATTTTTTGTGCCATTGCTCATTTTTGTCCTCTGCAGGCCACTGGTGACCTTATGTCTTCCTACTCTCCCGGAGCATTCCGCCGCACGACGAAACGCTTCACTGGCGCCTACGATTATCTCACTGAGAAAGGTATTGAGCTGTCAGAAATTGCACCCATTCCCCCCGATAATCATCGGCCGGAGTTCACTCCTGTCAATCAGGGTCTGTTGGACGGTCTCGTCGAAGTATCGGACCAGAGTAACGCATTGATGACCGAGGCTGGTCGGGTCTGTGCTCATCCTGAGCAGCAAAGTACTCGTGATCGGTTCCAGATGGCTGCACGGTATTCTTTATATCTCTTTAATATCAATTCTCTTCTTGCACATTTCTATGCGCTCAGCTGTGCTGAATTTTCTCCACATTATTTAACAATAAGGCCGTTTCCGTTCGTTGAGCAACTCTGACTCGGACACTGAATTATGCTGAGTTCAGTCAGCGTGACCCGTTCACTACTACAGTGATGAATGGAAGATGACCGGATGATATAAACCAATAGAGAAAAGGCACACCGTCCGGTTAAAACAAATATATCGAAAGTCAGTTATGAATAAACCTCGTTAACAGGGAGGAACAAATAGCTTTTGATCACTGTTGAGTGGGTATATGCCGGCTACACCACAGACCCAAATCATGCTTTTCTCTTGGTTCCATTCTGCCTATTCATTGCTTCATCAATTGATCACCCCAGAATTTTACCCTACCTGATGGCTTAATATTAACTAGCATGTCTGCCAATAACCGGCTCTGTGTTTTGACACATGCGATGTATGCTCCACGCCGTGTCCAATACTATACCAGCGCGTTTGTCATCAAACACCACGTAGTTAAGTTTGTGTGGTCTCTTCTCATCTAGACCGAATAGCGCTGAGGCCACTTTGGAAAGCTGTGCTCGGTGTAACCCCTGGGACAGAGGAGGCACTCTAGCCATTATGCCACTTCAAGTTACCGCATTCCGATTTTGTAACTAAATTTTGCGATTCGTAGCTGCTCGCATTAGTTTTTTTTATCTTAGGCTTCCACCTTGTTTTGTCACTTTAATGCATTTGAGCACATCTTGTCAATACCTCCGACTCTTTTTCATCAATAGTGATGTAACCGAAAGCATCAGTCAGCTGCTCACATTCTGCACATCTGCCGTCACTCCCGAACAAAGAGAGTGTGAACTCGCTTTCAAGCGACTTGATGCCTTGCGTCCTCTTTTGGAGAACCCAAATCGACCTCTCAGTTCCCAAACCTACTGCGAATGCGTGGATGAGGTGGCCAAAAGTCTGTCGGTGCGTTCCTGGTCTTCTCTATCATCGACGCCACTTTTCCCTAGTACACATACGCATATGAATCAGAACACATTCGAAATTCTCACTAGGGCACTCAGTGCACATTCACCGTGATGCACGTTGCAACACCACCTCTCCATCCTCTACTAACGAATCTGTATACTGGTGACAATGAAAACTAAATCAAAGAGCCCATTTAACTTTGAGCACGACTTACGATGTGTATTGGTCGAGACCGTAATAAACATATCAGAAATTGTTAATAGTAAGCAATATCAATCGACTCGTAAACATACATCACCTCTTACTCAAATGAAAGGTTACCCAATAGTGTTTTTTTATTTGTATTATCAGAATTAGTTAAAAATGTACTAATTTACCATACTTTGTAGCAAAAAATGCGATGGTTAATAATTTAGCCTATCAAAATGAACTTTTTTGTGGTAAGTGTTAATAGCGAAGCCGGTTCTTGGTTAACAGCCTCAGAAAGGTTGAGAACCACTGGCGTAAAGTATCTATTCGAGAATGGCACTACGAATGTCGCACATGAGCAGTATCAACTCTCACAAGATTTCATTCGTGCCTTTGAGGTTTTCTGTTTTCCATTGTCTGGTTCTGCGAGAACGGCTCTCGTAAACATATCTTGTGTATTTTAACTTTCCAGTATTACCTCGCGGCCGTTCGGTAACCAACGCCGTATGTAGATCCATAGTAAAGCAAAATATGTGTGGATTTCAATCATTTGTATAGTAATAATTGTGTTGTTCTCTCGTGTAGACATCATCTTCTATCTTGTTCCGTGGTATGTCTCAAGCCACTATTTCCTCCACGTTTCAGCCGCTTGCTGACAGTCTTCGCGGAATGTCTAATGCTGCCAAGGAGAAGTATGGCCAGGAGTTCGGAATTTCTGTGCGCCAATTCGCAACTTCCATGTGTCGATTAATTGAGGAAACAGCTCAGGTTTGTGGCGTGAACATCAGCCTTAAACTTTTCATCTGACTTAAATTCTGCTGTTCTTTTTGGCGCTTTCTTGCAATTGACACTTAGCTACTATTCCCAAGGTTGCCTAATGAGATTTGCATCTCGCACTCGAGGGCACAGTTTAGCTTCTCCGAAGTCATGCCAGCATGTCATAAAATTCCCCGTGGGTTTTAGGTGTGCTTGTTTGTAGCTGACCTGTGCCTTGCCATAAATCTGGTTTCATTTTCATAAATTTTTTATGCAATAAATCTGTGATAAAAGATGTTACATTCATCACATCTTATGTTATGCTCATTGTATCAAGAAGATGAGTGCTGCAAGCTGGTAGCATTTCGGTTTATCTGATCACTTGCAACCTAGCAACGTGTGCAATGTACTTTTGAGAAAGTTATCTTTTCCCCCTCAAACAAATATAGAGGACAGCAGTTGTCTGGCTTTCTATAGCGAACAGGGACTATAATCACAATGGCATGCGAGAGCCAATATGTTATTACCGTCACAGGTCGGGATGTTGCCTCAAGTAGTATGGCCACCGTGGGAATAATCCGGGTGTTCCTTTGTGCGTCATTGTGTCTCTCGGGCCATTTGCTGTATGCGTCGATTATAAATAAGAAATTCTGTCCTTTGATTAGCCCTGCAAAATCAAGGTGAACACTTGACCATGGTTTTGTTGGCGTCGGTCAGGAAAACAGTTCACCTTCCCGCGTGATTTCGTCTCCAAATCACACTCTGAATACAAAAGTGTTAACTGTTCAATTTGAGAATCCATAAATGGCCAGTACACATAACTCCTTGCTAGAGCCTTTATCCTGTTGGAGTCTGGATGTCCAGTATGCAATTGATGTAGGACTTTGCATTGAAGTTCGGCTGGGTTGACGATACGTTCACCAAACTGGATAAGTCTTCAAAGACCGATAGTGCATTTCGCCTCTGGAACAATTGTTGTAGCTGCGCATCCGAAATTTTTCGTGTAAATGGTAAAACTTGCTCACCTGTGACAACAACGGGTCCCGTAAAGTGGCGTCTCGAATTCGACAGAAAGATATTGGGAGCTGGCCCAGAATCCGAGAACACATGGCTGATCTCCGTTTTGATTGAGACATTAGCAATGACTGTGTCTTTTGGCTGATTTGTTCGTCTAAAACTCGAGACAGCGCATCGGCCTGACAAATGTCGCTCGTCGATCGGTTTTTGGTGTTGAAATCCTACCCCAGTATAAAGTTGTCGCCCATCTCTGCAGAGGATTGGCCGTTTATACCGGGATACCTTTGTTCGTGCCGAATATAGCAAGAAACAGCTTTCGATCCGTTAGCAACGTAAAATGACGGCCATATGGCATTTTGTGGAAATGCTTTACTACAAACACACTGGCGAGGGCCTCCTCACTTTGGCTATATTTATTTTCTGCTGCTATCAACAAAGAAGCGGCATGGGCGACTGACTTCTCAGACGTCTGGGAAAATGTGGGAGATTACTGCTTCAGCTCCGTAGCTGGATGCACTCGATGCCACGACAAATTCGCAGCTTTGACCGTTTTGCGTTAGCATCAGTTCTGAGCTTAATGACGACTTGATCCTGTCGAAAGCTTCCCGACATTCGGTTGTCCAGACCCACGGAGCACCCTTCATCAGCAATCGGTTTAATGGTCCGCGTAGGTCGTCCATAGACGGTAGATAGGTACAGTAGTAACTCGCCATACCCAGGAACGGCCTCAACTTCGCTACGTCTTTAATTGGGGGGCATGTCCTTGATCGCATTGATGTTTGATGGATCAGGTCGTCGTCCACTTTTGTCAATGATAAAACCGAGATATTTAATGAAGGTCATGAAAACTCACATTTATCCGTTCTTAGGCGAAATTCTTTATCCTGTCAAGCACCTACTCTGTTCGTTGGTGCAGTTCTTCCTGATTAGATCCCATGATAACGACATCGTCCAAATATGCAGCAGCTCACTATCCACTGACTTGCACGTTACTGCCGTGCAGCGTACAGGATTGCTCCCTCACCAAGAGACGAACTTCCCGAACTTAAGCTATCAATTATAAGTGAGCGGCATTATATCGATTTTCGTAACTTAGTTACCAAGCTAATCACCGTCCTCCGTAGTTCATTGGTCTCAACCACAGACTGGCAACTGTCGAATTGCGGGTCCGAGACTTACATAGGTTCACACGGGATGCGCACTGCTGACGATCCCCGAAAGGATGAAGCGGCCGTACGGTGCTTTTCTGCTTGTGCACTGGCTGCCTGACTGAGTATAGAATTGCTGAATTTCTACCTATGCTATTCGATTCCCCCTACTACTTCTTTGCTTGCGTAAGAGCTCGTCTAATATATTCGAAACGGTGAACATGAAAATAAATTTCATACTTTACTACTCACGACGAGAAAGTAAGGTACGCTAAGTACTTGTATTGGGCTTCCATATTTTGACCACTTTGGTCCAGTCCTTTGAGTTGTCAACTTACCGAGGGTACGAAGGGAATAAATTCCACCTTCTGGTTTGCAAGCGATCATGTATCACTCGTCTTCATGTCATCTTGTTCAAACATGCAGCATTCGAGTTCCATCGACCGCATAGTTGGGCTGTCAGTTGCCACATAGAACTATAACCACTGACGTCGATTGCAATCCTACTAAGCAATTTTCATCGTCAGGGATCGCAAACAGTTGCTCATGCGGTAACACTGACATAAGCGGCTAGACAACTTTATTGGGGTCTTTACTGCTTCACGTCATGGCCAATCTCTTCACACGGTTAGCTCAGCACCACGCTCGATTTAGATAGGCAGTTCGGACAAGAGACGACAGCAGCCTTGCCACTAGTGCTGCTTGCGTATTGTCTTATAACGCTTCCACCCAGAATGAATGTCGTTGCTCCTAAACTGGAAATCAAGATCTGTCTCTTCATAGTCAGTGATTACCTTTGTGGAAAAAATGTGATGTATTCAGTTGCCTCACTTGCCTTCTGTTCTCTCATCTTGGACTCTCGTTTCATCTGGGAACAGAGGACGAGGTTGAACGGCGAACGTTTTCCCACTACATATACTAGGCTGATACTCTTGCAGATGATACGAACGTCACGACCGTTCTACTCGAATATTGTGACCCTGATCGATTCGACCCACTTGCCTAAGATGGTCTCCTTTGTTCATACTTGCTCGAACAGCTATGTCAACTGTTCACACAAACTCTCACCACAATCCATACATAGCGCATACATTAGCAATGCGGAATTGCTGCGCTTCGAATCTCAGGTTCAAAAAGCTGTAAATTATCTGAACAGGATGCAATCTACTGCGGCAGCTGACCGCAGCAGATCAGAGAGAGGAGATGCACTGAGCTCGCTGGAACAATCAATCTGAGGTACCGTTGTTTCATTCACGTTGAACTGTTCTTAATTCATATGGGTTATCAACAGTACTATGTGCTAACGCATCGCTGCCCAGTAACCGCGAGCGGTTGGTTACTCCCTGAGTCACTACCCAGTGCGCAGTGATTGGAGGCCAAACATGCGCCATCACACCAATGACAGTGTTCCTGGAGTTGATGCGCTCAACAATTAAGATGGCGTTTCTTGCTGTCAACTAGAGCCTTCGGGATTGTCATGACTTTCTCACTGGCTGCTGCCAAAAGTGTGGACTAGGTGTGAGTAACTTCAGTCGTTCCTCGTCGCTTTCCCTTTCTCTGTGTATTGAAGCTTCCAAGTCCTCCATGTTCCCTTATCAGTTTGCAGGCCCCGTTCAAACTCGCAATTGATCGTTTGCACTCTCGCCTTTTGCTCCGTGAATTCACATCATTTTCTTCCGAGCTCCAACTGGTTCATCGACCTTTCGCATGTTCATTGCTTGACGTGGGGAAGGTTGACGGTTTTATTGCCTGAAGCTCTAGCGCTACTTATCACAGCATGCGAACTGCTCCATCGACGTTGGATGCCCTCAAAGCAGTTAGACAAAGCGTGGTCCCATGGTTAGTCAATAGCCTGTTAAGTAGCGGATACGTAGAAGCAAAGTCATGAGTGTTCGGATCCTCTAGGGTTCAGTGGATGTGCGCTACTATCGAATTCTAATGGGTCGAAATGACTGTCCAACGCTTTTCGGGGGTGTGACGAGTGACTGCCTTAGCCTGGCAACGAACGAGCCCATTTGGTGCACAAATATTACTTTATAATCCATTGTCATTTTTGATTTTATATGAAAACCAACGGATAATATGAAGTCTTTCTAGGTGGCTGATTTTGATGTTTCTCTTTTGGCTTTATTTACTGCGTATCGTACTGTTTACTTTTTCATTCGATCCAACAATGATTGTGTCTCCGTTGAATATAAATGACTTCTAGAAGCAAATAGTTTACTAAGATCTCCATCTCGGATCCGTTTAGAGCTTTGTTAGTTTTCCAGTTTTTGTTCTACTCATTTCTCGCAGTCGTCTTTTACTCGGGTTATTCAAGTTGTCTTTTGGTTTTTGTCTCTTGTTTTATACTCTCCTTAGCGAGTCATTTGTTTTTTCGTACTATACTGCAAATTTTTATCGACCTGGTCATCATATTTACCTTCTCATTTACCTTCTAGGCTGCCTACCTGATTGGATTGGCTGATCCTCGGTCTGAACCTGGTCGTTCTTCAATAATCGACACTCAGCTGCTCTTGCGCACCCAGAACGACATACAGCAGGCTTGCAACGGCATCTGTGATCCTTCAGTCAATAGTCGTCAGGTAATCAGTGGCACGTTTACTCTCTGTGACGTGTCAGACTTCAATCTCCTTTCATTTCCGATACGTAGAGTTCCATAAATCATTGCTTTCTTCTCCAGATTGTGGCCCTATCCACGGAAATGGCTCGCAGTGCAAAAGTGTTGTGTGAGGCATGTAGTACTGTCTCTACTCAAACGACCAATCCTGAAGCCCGACAAAAATTGAATGCCCTCACTCGAGAAACCATGCAGGCAATCACCGCTCTCATCCAACATCGTGGAAGCGTTGCTCCAAACGGCGAATGGGCTGAGGCTAGTCGTCAAACCACTCTGGCCAACGCTCAGACAGTTTCTTCTTCCGTAGGCCGCTTGGTTCACTTGGTCACCCAGAGTCCACAATTTGCCGGTCAGGTGGCGCGAATCACGGATGAAGCCAAGGAGGTAACCCTTTCATCTCTCTCTATCTAGTGTGCATATCGTACTACTTTGATGTTCAACACTTTATCTATCCTCATCCTTTTTCGCCAACTCCAGGCTCAGCGACCAGTCTGTTCCGCTGGTTTGACTGGCCTTAACGCAGCACAAACTGTGCTGCGCGCTGCTCAAACATTAAATACAAGTGGTCGCTCGGGACGCTCGGAGTCCGCATTCTTCACTTTTTCCTCTGCCAGCAAGGAACTTTCCGAAAGCATCAAGGCCTTGGCTGCCGCAATGAGGTAACGATTGTGTGTTCTGTAGGTCTGAATTAACCCACGATCATCGTACATACAATTAGCATAACTTAGTGACTGATAAGTTTCTATCCTACTGAACTGTAATGTTACCTCTTGCACACCACAATTGACCTAGTACCTTGAATAATTGCGTGCTTATTGACACACACTAAACCTGATTATTTGAATCCTTTATCATCATGATTGTGAATCAGTGTTCTAATCCGGCGTCATCACACTGCTGACGTGTCCGGTGATTGAAAATAATAATTAATCAAGCTAAAATCCGAGTGGTTATACTGCGGTGTCTGCGGCTTTTTGGTGCAGGATACCACTCAACATCGGTCGAACCGGTCCTGTCTCATGCAGTTGGGTACTTTCATAGTGTGTTCATTTTTTTCGTCATCCCCATTGCATTAAATTTTGAAACCAAGGCCTCTATTTCCATGATTAACTCGCATCTACCCCGCCAATGCCTAACTCGGTCAGCTTCACTCGGTATTACTACTTGTGCGTGCAAAGCATCGCTCGTATCCGGGTGGGAGAGATTACATGAGCTATGCTGCTATCCGGCCGGTAGAGCCTAACAGGTGTCCGCCTGATATCCCACTGTCGAACGGAAATCATATGCGCCAACCTGACTATGCATTCCACATCCTTCGCGCATTGTTTGTAGTTACGGCTGTCTTGCCCTTTTATTCCTCGATTTCTCCACTACTGTTAATAGTTATTGTTGTTACGGAGTATGAACTGGCGCCACCGGAACTAGTGGGCTTTGAGGCAACTGAACTGAAGCGACGAATCTGATATCTTTCAGTCCATTTGCCTTTTTCAACCACAGCCATGTGAGTAGTTTCGTTTCCGCAACGTGCACCCGGTTACCTCCAAGTTTTCTCTCTTCCCTCTGCATCTCTTCACAGGAGCCACGCACCAGGACAGCGTGAATGTCAACATGTTCTGGACACTGTTGCCCAATTGATGCAGGATATTCAGCGTGCCAAAATGGCCAGTATCGAGGATCGTTTTCAACCCCATCGAGAGTTAAGCGAAGAAGGCTTCCAAAAGGTGAGTAGAACAATTAATCGTCAGGTTTCACTCTAGTCTTCCTCGTGAGCAGTGCAGTGGGTTACCATGGTCTCGTCTGTTACCAATTGTAAACTCGGCGGTGTGCAGAACGGTCGCATCCGAGAAATCTTTTGATCGTATTATCTTTTGTTTCGTTTTTCCGTAGTCAGTAAACACACAACAATGGACGATTTGGTTCAGTCAAATAGAGTACGTTTGATTGGAAATCGGGGTCGAACACTAAGCCTCATGGAGCTAACTTAAAGCATTTTTCTCGGTTTAACTTTCGCATCCTGAATTTCTTGTCCCGTAACTGCTATTTTGTGCGATCCCCTTGTTTTCGCTGTTGTTTGACGGAATATTCTTTACATGTTTCTTTTCGAAACTTTGCTATACTCCTTTGCACTGCCATGTTTCTCAAATGACCTTATCCACGTTGTTCACTTTATAAGCAACTGGCGGCTAGTGCTCGAGCTCTTTTGGACTCCGCTCCCACACTGGGGCGGGCTGCGCGGTCCGAGGCAGAGCAGTTGGCTCATGCAGCTCGGGTGATCGACTCCTACCTCCCGGGTTTGACTTCAAGCGCGATTGCAGCGGCCTCACGATCCTCTCTACCAAGCACTCAATTGGTCTATCTGGAGCACACGAGTGCCGTGCTGGAAGCAGTCGATCAGCTGATTACCGTGGCCAAAGACGCGGGTGGAAACCCAAGGGTGCGTTAAACCTCTGTATCTGGAGCACACCTATCATTCATAACCGGTTATTTACCAGCGTTCTGAAATTATTGACGATATCTGTAGCTTGTGTTGTGTCTGAGCATCTTGTGTTTTCCGAGCTGGGCCTCTTAGTTGCGTACATTTCGTTGCCAGTCCAGTCAACCTCACCGTTGCGGCTTTCAATATCTAATTCACAGAGTCGCGTAAGCCGTTGCCAGATCTGAGTAATTATTGATTTACACCTACTTTGAATATCTGCTTCTCGTTTGCACATGTTTCTGGATGATCAGTTCCTTCTACTTTCTTTCCTTATCGAATCCACCTTGAAGAAAACTCGTTTTAGACACATCGCTGGTCGTGTTGCTTGGCTGAGCCTAGTGTGAGATAAGATTATTGTCTAAGCCAGCGTACTGCAAACTCGTTCATTGCAGCCGAATTAATTGAAATTCCACGACCATCTCACTGACATACATCATGGAGCTGCGAATTACGCCGATGTCTGTGGCTGACCCTCACGACACACAGTGATCTGTCAACCCTGTTTTGGACTCTCGGAGTTAGATTTGTGAAATGCACTTAGTCGAAGTGAACCACTCAGCTACTGGGGTTTATCAAGTCCACTGGAGTGTTGTTGCCTGCGCACCTATTTGAAGCATTTTCGTATCCCCCTTTTTAGTGCGTACTGTGTAGCGGAAAGCTCACCGTTAACCGATCGGACCTGCGGGAATATTATCACTTGGCAACATCGCCTGAACTTACTTACATTTCGACGCCAGATCGGCACTAATGTGGTAGCACTTTGGAAACAAACGTCTCTATTAACTCTTTGATGTGTGTCACCCAATTCGGATATGAAGATTGCAGCATGATTTATTTGGACAAGCCAAATGTTCTGCTTACCACTAGTCTTCGATAATTCAAACCACAGTACAACATTGAGCCATATCTGCAAGTACTTGTCATAGGTGATATTCAGGCTTTAATTGCCTGGTTGGTGTTTTAACGGTTTCGGGGAACCTCAGCGATTATTTCTTCTATTGTGCCACGTCATATAACCTCCACCGCTTTAATTTATGCTCCTATGCAGTGTGCTGTTAAAATTCCTACTGCCCCCCCCCCTCCTCTGCAGGCCGTGCACGTCCATAGTGCGCTTGATGAGGCAGTTCGAAGCTTAATGGATTCATGCGAGGATTTGTTAACTGCCTTGGATGATATCGCTTCACGTCAGGGTCATGTGAGCACACTCATGGACACACTGAATCGCTCAATGTCTCGGGTAAGTCCATTTCCCCTGCCGTTTAACGATTGCCTGACCTCAGTGATAGGAGAATTTTTTGCGTTAAATGTTTGACTTATTGTTTTGACCTGTATGATTCATCGATTCTGTCGCATGAATTGTTGTCTTAATACCACATAGTTACCAATGTCCTTTTTTCACGGCATACCCTCAGTAAACTCACCTTCGCTCACTCCCCTTGGCTAAATCCCGCCTCATTTTTAGCACGGCTGTCTGGTCTGACTTTTCTTTCACCTTTTACACTGCCGTCTTAAAATGAAGAGCTATAATTCCGAAGTCCAGTTTCCAATTGACACCTCTAAGAGCAAATGCTAACTCAACTGAGCCGCAGGTGGAGTCTCTAGAGCTCCATTATCTATCACTCATAATTTGCCTACTTTCTCATAGGCGTCAGGGTCAACTATTTCATTGAGAATATTTGTTGCCAGAGGTGGTTTACTAGATCTCGAGCTAGGATGGATTGATGAGGCATCACCTTTATGCCTCTTTCTAGCGGGGTTTATCCGCCCTAATCACAGCGCTTTTAAACCCAGATGTCGTTATAGTCATTGGTCGTTTGTCAGTGAATGAGCATGGCGCATATGCTTGGCGGCATCCGGTTCCGGATTGGCCTATCTTTGCGGCCTCCATAGGACAGCACAGCACGCCTGCGCCTACAAAATGACTATGGGTGGCTTGCGCCGCACCGTCCACAGCTCCATCCCCGCACCCCATATCCAGTGTAAACACAAAGCAATGAAACCGGGAGGCATGCGAATGGGAGCCACGTTTCATCAACCGAGCCGGCCTACACTCCTTGACAGGCAAACACAAGCACGCTGTATTTGGGGAATCAACCGCACACTAGGCGGTGGCTGGACCGTGGTCCGCTCCACACTGAGTGCATGGAACCACTATTCGAGGCTAACACGGCCACAAGGACCGTGCACTCCGTCCCCTCCAGTAACGACCAACTGTCTCCTAGAACCAGTATGGACGAGGTAGTGGGTAGTGGACAGGTAGGCACCTTGTCAACATGCACAGGGGATGTCAAGTAACAGCCAATCACATGAACTGCAGTAAATCTCAGCAGTATCGGGTAATTATTTTTTAATCACATTACGAAAACGTTTCGTTATGCATTCTCCGTCAATCATGGAAGCAGGAGATAGCGCTTCAGTTTCTCGATCGGACACCTTTTAAGCATTGTAACGATCACAACATTCCTAGAATGTGCGCTCCTTTCATGTACCTTGGTTGCTTTGGTGGTTGTAATGCCGCCGGTTTTTCCAAGGTGCTCCGTGCACTGGCTCTTCGACAGGTCTAGAACATATATTGGTGGTGTATATTTCCTTAGGATCAATTCGACAATACTTATTCGGTATTTAAGGTCATTCAACCCGATTTCCGTGGTTAGCGTTTTTTGATACACTTCTGATACGCGATTCTCTATTTGTTTTTGTTGTTGGCGTAGAAATGGTTCCGGATCTTCTAGAGACAGCTTTGGCAGTTATGCTGACAAATCAGTTAGTGCAAACATTAGTTACAGATTTAGAAGATAGATAAGGCTGGATAAAACTATTAGAATCGTTCGGGAATTTTTGACAGAACAGATAAGAAAGACAACTAAAGTGTTCAGTAGAAGTATCATCGACATCCTCTCAATTACAGGACAATATAATCCGATATAATATCTGACTAGGGGTGGTACAATTCGGTGTCCAAAAAAAGCAATTTATGGCGCGAATGAAACCTACCGTGTTTGAATTCTCGCCACACGTCTACCTTCTTCCATGAACGTCTAATGATAATCCACTTTTTTGTATGTTATTACAGACAGATGATGTTGTTCAGGTGCCTGATGATGCTCGGTTTTCTGATTACCACTCTCGATTGATACGCATCGCTCGCCACATGGAACAACTCAACCAGGTTATTCAACTCCGTGCCCGCCAACAGTTGTCGGAAGGCGAATTAACTCCATTGGCACATTCTCTTACGCAGGTATGCTATTGAGTGTGGCAGACCTCCCTGGTGTGCACCGTCGTTGAAATGACAAAAGCTTTCTCTCTTGACCTCACTCTTTATCCGACTGTCCTATCTCGTAGCCGAAGCCTAGGTTTTATCCTCTCGTTTTTTCGTTCAGGAACACCCCAACGTACTTTTCGTGCGGAGGTATATTTGTTTCACTGGTATTCTTTCGCTACTTGTTATTTTCCAGGAATTTCAAGAGATGTGCCAGGCATCTAAGGGGGCCGCGGCCACAATGCACAACGCTCGCAAAGCCGATGACCTGCGCGCAGTAGTGAAAGCCGTTGGCACTGCAACAGCGAACTTGATCCAAGCTACCGCGGCGAGCCGACCATTCGGTGGGGAGTCTCAGCAAATGCCGCTCAGTCAGGACCGGGGAGTTGCCGAACTGGACAAACGGGCAGAATGTCTGAATGCCAAGGTGAGCTGAACGTACTGTTCTGCATCAGCATAGCTTAAACCTAGTGCATCGCACATCACTCGATCTCTGCGTTCTGCCTATGTCCACGGGTTGCTGGCTTCCACTGTGGCCACGGTACATTCGTTCCTACGGAAGTCATTAAATCGGGAACCACGATGTGCATTCTCGCGGATACCTGTTCCTATGGGGCATTCCACATTGTTGCTTGTTCTCCTCAGCGACACCAGGATATATACAATACGTCATGCAGTCACAGAGCCGGCTTGAACGACTGGTAGTGCTCGCACTTTCGCTACAATTTTGTCATGGGAAGCTTACTCGGTGTTCGAATTCTTTACCATCTCCTTCTGGTGGGTTGCGATCTTCAACCCTTAATCCGGGGATTTCAACACAACACTTATTTTCCCCACTCATGTCACTGGTAACCGCGATATCAATTGATAAATGGGTAATGAAGGCTTTTGCATGAGATGCAAAACGCTGGCCAACGAATACTCATGCCAATGTTCTCAACTCCCCTGAGTAATCATGACTACCCAATAATTTCCTTGCTTATTGCAGGCGTTCTTCAATATTTCATTTTTCTCTCCCGTGTTCCTCACGTACAGCTCCGGGAGTTGCTCGCTTTGCTGGACGTTCTGGGTCCGAATACACAGGCTTGTCTACAATCGGCCAACACAGTAAGTGGGATCATTGCGGATTTGGACACAACCATACTATTCGCTAGCTCTGGCACACTGCACCCACCAATTCACGATGATGTGGACGCAGTCATGGGTCCAGAGGGCTATCGTATGCCGCGTGCATTTGCTGGTGCCGGGGAGGCTCTCACACTTCACGCTGCTCGCCTTGATACGTCAAGTGCGGCCGACTATTCCTCAGATGGCTTTGGAACTGTACGGTGAGATCCTTGGGTATTTTTTGTCTACACCTTTATTCCACCTCATGCAGATCACTGCGTTAATCATCTAAGTACAGTAAACCGTATTTGGTTGTTTCTGTTCTCGATATCCTAGAGAAAAGTTTACGAACCATTTTGAAAATAATTCTGGTTTCAGTGTTTATGCTATTGTGCTACAAGCCTTTTTCGTCCTGACCCTTCTTCTACTGGAGCAGGTAGCTCAATCTTGCTTTTGACTGATAGCCCATAGCTGTTGCCTTTGCCCTACTTTTTGATAGTGTTGGGATTGTAGTAGAATCGTTTTGGGGGTGCTCCCATTCCTAGAGACTATCGCACACGTGCTGCATATTGTCATGCTCGGGTTTGGGCGTTCCTGCAGTATTCCAAGCTGCATACAACCGACTGAGGTTGTATGACACCGATGCATCGGTACCGCAATGCTGATGATCTTGTGCGATTCTTATATTCGCGATGATCGCTCGACCGCATCTCACTTCACTTAAATACTCATGTTCCATGCACTCTGAGGTGCAGTGGATCCTGTGATTCGCGTCACCAGAGCAATCGTAAATAACAATAGGGAGCATAGAGATTACGTAGGAAATGGGGATGTAAGGGAAGTAATCAAAGGATCAGTTTGGAATATTAACTGATGAATGCAAGGAACTAAATGCAGGGATGCTACTGATAAGGTATTTTGCCACTGATATGGACCATCTGCAAGAATGTCATGCCGTTGCGTGACCAAGTCGCTCGGTCAGTGTGTAACGGAAGAGTATCCCATCCATTTTGTATGAGGAACTTTGATACTCAAAACTTGATGAGGGTCCAACGCTATTGCCTACTGTTATGAGTTTCCAAATATCCGTCTTCCACAACTGCACCCTACTGACTGTTCTGCTCTTGGGCCCAGCCCAGCTACAAACGTCGGATAAACTTAGGCCACAATCTGACCCGGTAACAACATATATACACACTCCTTGCTCGCAGAGCTCAATGCCTAGTGATTATGGTGATAGCCGCCAAGCACTATGCGCTGAGTTCCACTTCCATGTCGGCTATCCCACATGATGAGTCCAAACCAAGACGAAACCGGCGCTCGTGGAGTGCAGGGATAGAAGAAGACCACACCGAAACCCTCCATTCCTTGCCACATTTCTTACTGATTGCGCTCGTAATTGGTGTTTTGGTTGACTTGATCTATAGGCCAGCAGCCTTCGACAACCCACAACATGGAGAAGCCATATGAAAAGGCTGACGAAACATTTGAAGTCGGTCGACTGTTTTCGACTCCCTGGTTGGAATTTCAGAGAGACAGAGTGTCGCTGGTTGGAGACCCTAGTAGTCATGGCTCAGGACCGACCTCAATGGCGTACGTGTTTCTCTGCGTGTTACGGTGATTTCCCTTCCCCAATAGAACAAACCATAAAAAACTGCGTGAAAAACTACTGAAAATGCTGCATGTTCTTTTTATTCCTATTCAATCCTCTTTTCTTCTTCCTCCATGATTCTGATGGCACAATACCTGTAGCACAGATTGTGATGATGATGATATATATATATATATATATATATATATATATATATATATATATATATATATATATATATATATATATATATATATATATAGCGAACGACTCTAGCCTTGGAGACACACAGCGAGTTCTCATCTGTCAAACCGCAGATACTGAGACAACTCCCATGATAAATGTATTTGGCGACCACTTCTAACGGATGCCCCGAAAGGGTGAGAGAAGGACATGCGCTTGGCCAGTCCTGTAATAGGACCTTACATTTGGAAAGGGCAAAGCTCAACCCAAATTGGGTAGCGGACATCTCCAGTGTGAACAGCACACGCAACGTGGCTTGGGAGGACTAGCAAATCACAGCGATGTCATCGGCATACTCGAAGGCAGTCACCAGGGAGCAGTTCGACACCGTAAAACTCAGTTATCCGATGCTGTGTCCAGGATGTTGCCCATGGCGAAGTTGAACAAGAATGCAGATGGTGGGCAACCCTGTCTAACACCGCTAGTGATACTGAAAGGGGACAAAATTTCTCCGTATGCTCGCACGCCGCCCGAACTTTGGGGGTAAATGGCACGGAGAATGCTGACGTACTTCCCAGGTACTCCCATCTCCAGTAAACAGTCCCAAAGGGCCACTCTGTCAACAGAGTCAAAAACGGCTGGAATGTCCGAGAATATGACTATAGTTGGTCGACTGAACGTATGGCGATGTTCAAGTATCTGGCGGATCTTAAAGATGTGATCGACGCAACTGCAACCCGTCGCGAAATCCAGCTTGTTGTTCACGCAGGTGCTTTTCCCGTACGCAACTGAGCCTCCGCAAGAGTAGGGCAGCAATCAGTTCGGATGCGACATAAATGAGACTGTTACCACGATGGTTGGAGCAAATGGTATGGTCTCCTTTTTGTAAACAGGTACATCCGCTAAATTCCAGTCGGATGAAATGGTTTCAGTAGTCCAAATCTGATTGAAGAGAGATCTCAGTTCGCGAGTGAGAGCAAAACCTCCATATTTGAAGAGGGCAGGGGGAAGTTCATCTGGGCTAGGTGGCTTGTGGCGCTTCAATAGATGAAACTCATTGGAAACCTCAGCCTCAGTCGGTGGAGAAACATCCGCTCACCAGGAAGCACTGTGAACCTCGGAAGATAGACTCGGTTGCACTGGTGGCCAGTTGAACTGATCCTCATAGTGCTCTGCCCACCGTACCAGATGACGGTAACGACTGTGAATTAGTTCACCGTCATTTTCACACAAAAACCTCATTTACTGTTGGTCTTCTGCCTCCCGTGGAGCAAATAAGTTGGAAGCGTTTGCGGGAGTTCCCTGATGAGGCTGCCCGCTCCATTTCAATGGCGCGCTGTGTCCACCAAACCTCGCGATTCTTCCTGTGGAGCTGTCTGAGCTCAGCACTTGTGGTTCTGCCTTATGCGTTGTACTCAACCCCGGCTGGAATTGTTCGACGACTTTCCATTAATTGGGGAGACTGTGCGGCGATCCAGTGACTAGCAGCTCGTCTATTGAAGCCACAGACCAGAGTAGCGAACTTTTGTAAAGCGCACTGGATCTATGCCCAGCGTATCTCAACATCAGAGGATAGAGAACGCAGGTTAGAAGCTGATGTGTTCTGAAAAGCGCCGAGAACATTTGGGGCGGCGAGCTTGTCTGTGTCAAGCTGTTTCTGACGACGCTGTTGGGTGCCTTCAAAGCGCAGAACGAAATTAGCACACACCAGCGCATGATCCGAAGTCAGTTAAGTGCTCCAAATTGGCTTGCAGTCCGTTATGCATCCTCGCCAGCGTTAGCTAACAGTGATGTGGTCAATTTGCGTCTAAGACTGATCAGGCGCCGGAGGTCGCCAGGTGGTTCGTAGCGCCAGGAATGTCGGAAATTGATGCTGGATGGCAACAAGCCATGGTCGGCGCACATTTGAATGAGTCGGTCGCCGTTGTCCGTCCTGCGAGTACCGTGACTGTGTTGAGCCCCAAGTTCGCGCTTTTCAACCTCTAGTCTACCGACCTGCGCACTTAGGTCTCCGGCGAGTATCACGATGTCCGTGCGGCGTTTCTTGCGGAGGAGGTCGTTGAGTTGGCGGTAGAACTCGTCTTTAACTGCGTCCGGGCTGCAGTCCGTAGGAGCGTACGCCGCCACAACGAATAAGGAATGCCTACTGGTCCGGTGGCTGGAAGGTCGCACTGAGCTTTCCAAGCGGACTGCACATAGACGACTGTTGACCTTGAACCAGTCAATGAGCGTTGCGTCAGCACACGCGCTTAACGCAACTCCTACGCCGGCGCAACCAGAGGCTGCCGCTGTCGCATCTCCAGATAAGCGCAAGGTGAATGTGCTATTGGTTCTCGGGGACGGTGAGAGCAATCACAGCGTTATGCTGGAGTCTTGTAAGCGGGTTTCGGTTAGATAGCGAACGTCGGTTGGGAGGGTTTCCAAGGTGCGCACAAAAGCAGCTTGTAAACCAATCTGCCTGAGCGTTCGCACATTGAACGGAGCTAGCCTGAAAAGCGAGCGGAATGCAAAAGAAACCTTGCTGTTGGTATTGGAATGGGTGCGATCAGTTTTGAACGCTTCATTGATGAGGCCAAGGGTACCGTTTTTATTTGCAATGCACTTTTGGTGATTTGCAATTGAAGGCGGGTTGCCAAGAACAGGAGGCTTGTATAAACGTGGAAGGAAAAATCTGGTTTGCGGTGCGGTAGAGGGAGGTATAGCATGTCCAGCCGCCAGCACCCGGACCAAAGAGAGAGAGTTCAGAGAGCTAGAAATGTGAGCAGAGAGTTGTAAATCCATCATTTCTGTGTTGTGTGGTCATGTAACTTCCCGGTTTCCCATGCCGAGGAAGGGGTTAACTTAGGGGCCCCACCCGGAGCCTTTGGTCATAAGGACCTGACCCGCAAGTCAACGGGACAAATTCAGGGAATTGCGCCTATTTGGAGCCGGTGACCGATAGCTCGGTTCATACGCCTTTCGTTTGGCTGGTTGTCAAACAGGGGCCCAATACTCCCAGTAATTCAGCGTCAAGCTGAATCATTACAAGGGGCAGTGACTTTATTCGGCAAGTCAACGAATGCTCCCTTTAACGATATTAGTTATTCATGTCTCCATCACCATACACCTGGATCTTTCACCCTCACCATTGCACGAGAATGCCTCATCTACAGTCTTTTGAGCTGCTTTCTTTGGGTGTCCCCTGACTATATGGCTCCGTGTTAGCTGTAATCCTACCCTCAACGAAGCGAGAACTCCCATGTTGTGATGCCTATTTGTCTCTTGTTTATCTGCTCATCGAGTGTGTTTATCGTACAAAGAATGCACATCGAAGACTGACAAGCTGGAGAGCAATGTTCGTGACTATTTGTTTGCGTAGGAAAACTGATCGTGCTGTGTGGTTTTCGTTCTTGCTTTTTGGAAGTGTTACTTTATGTAACTCTGTTCACTTCCATCTCATTTCCCTTTACTACCTGAGGATTCGGGTGATTTGGCAACAAAAACCGTTTCTGCACTTCTATTGCTTTCCGTCTCATGTATTCGTCTTTTTCAGTGGGAGCATCGTTCGCACAGCCAAAGCGTTGGTGGACGACACACAGTCCCTGGTCAGCGGAACTGGTGAAGATCAAGCGCGTTTGGCCAGCACTGCCCATGTCGCTGTGGAACGAGTTGCGCAGCTGGCTGACGTAGTGAAGAAAGGTGCTTCCCTCATCGGCCCCGGTCAACCAGATACACAGGTAGCCGTTCTTGTTTACCTAGGTCTCTGTAATGTTGACTTTTCATTCTGTTTGTTTAGGTAACATCTATAACCATGTGTCTCTTAGTGTGTCTTAGTGTCTTGGTGTGGCTCTTAGTCGGCCGTTAACCCCAAACCCCTGCCTCTGCATCATCGTACACAACTCTGCTTCATTATTGTCCTAAAAGCATCTTTTCGGCGCTTTATCCAGCTATTTTGGTAGTTTTGTGGATATGTTACCATCCACCTTTCGCACGTTCTCCGTGAACTGTAGGGTGTTCTTTTTGCCCAACCCCCATCCTATACTTTATCGATCGTATTCACCCACATTCGTATCGTTTTTGAACTACGCATCGGAGCACGCGTGTGGAAGTGTGGTACCCAACCTTATTGTCAGCACTCTGATCGCACAGATATCACACTGAATGCGCACCCGAGTCCGCATCGTGTTGGTGGACTTGACTAGAGCGATTGTTCATATGCCTCGGTGTGAACCTAAATACACTTCGGTTTAGCCATTGCAAAGGCGTTCATTTGCACGCTCCCCCGATTCTGTTGCGAAAATTCCTGTTCTTATATCTCACAACCTGGCTTTCGTTCCTCAATATGGGTTTAGCTGCCCTCCTGCCTAGTACGCCTCTACCCTGCTTTATCGTTCTCAATATACTGCTTACTGGTCAATCACCGAATCTCCCATTTCTCTTTCTCTGAGGCACCTCTGGTTTTTGGGTGCACACTATGTTTCTTTCTTTGGGCAATGACCCATACCCACTTTACTAATCGACAACTTTACGCGGTCCCCTCCACTTTTGCAGTACTTTCTTCCCGAAACAGATGCCCCCATCTAATAGTGAACTCTAAACCCTACCTTCATCACACATCAGTCGTTGTCACTGACCATAATCAAAACCTAACAGTACCTCCAACGAAAGAAATTCAGTCTAATGGAGTCAATCTAACGCGTATACTAATTCGCATGTGACTGCGGAGCCGATTATAAGGTAACGTACTTCACACTGGGTTTAGTCTGATAGTACTCAGCATCAGTGCCCTTGAAGCCTACATGCTACCGTAGACCACCAGCTTCCTCGATTGGTAGATATCTAGTCATCAATCACCGGATAGAGCGTCTGCTTAGCATTAACATTAAAAGTGCTTCATCCTGACCGTCGCTTCATTCCTTTCTCTGACTATTTTGCAATAAGACGGATAATGCCACATCTGTGTACCCCATATCAATCGTTTGTCAGCCATAAGCCGTTCTGGACTACGAGGCCGAACTTCTGTCATTTAAGTTGCACATCAAGATTAATCACATCCACTTTCGGGTATATGTAGGCCAGTGAGTTATTGTCAATGGTACTAAAGAGATAATACTAAGTACATGCATTTATCATGTTTCCTTACCGTAATCTTCAAATTTTTGCAACTGACAGCTCTTAATCAATCCGATCGGTCTTTTGTTACTACCCGCTTGCACCTACTTTCTAACAGCCGTTATGTTCGGAGCGAGCCTTCTTCCTGATCTCTTCCATTAGCTGCTTGCCACTTAGTTATCTTACTGCTGTTTTTAGTCAATCCTACTCTGTTTTATGCTAAAGCGTCATTAGTATCTTAGTGATATCGGGTATCTACAGTCACATTCCCAGTTTTCCCCGCAAAGCTTGTTATCAAATTCACCTGTCGATCAGGGATTCTAGTTGTCTCAAATTTTAATCCCTCACCAATGAAGATGGGATGTTGAGGGAAGTGTCCTGCCTTTAGCTTGGCGTGTCTTCGTTAAGATGACCTCGTGCCGCAACTTAATACTTAGGAATAGTCGAGGGAAGCTCTTGAACGGTTGCCTTAGGTAGTGCTGAGCTTAGGGCTCCCAAAACTGTGAGTTCTTGACAGAAGGCAAAAACGCCAGTGTCCAAGCCGCCTTTGCAATGTGATCGATGGAGGCGGTGAAAGTAACAGATCGATCAACTTGACGCAGATTTGGAATTCGACATACGGCGCTCCAGGCGAGGATTCCGAAGAACAGGAATCATGGCAGACACAGATGGTATTCCGAGGCCAAATTCTTTGGCAGTTGTAACTGTGCAAGCGAAGCCATTGTGTCGAACATAGCTAATACTAAATGCATCCGTTCCGACAAACGAGACATCCACTTATCTTCGCTATACCTGTTGGTGGTTGCATGGCGCGGGTTTCCTTCTATGTCTAGGGGTTGTATGGTGCGCATTGGTTGTGTGTCCATTCCTCGCGCGCATACAACTACGGTTCTAAAGTCTTCTTCTCCTTTGGGTAGTCAGTACAGTTTGCTGTTGGCTGGTTGACATTTCGTATCGTTGCCTTTCAACGCTACTGATGCCTAGTGCAGTAGTGTCTGCCTTTATTCCACCACGCTCCTTCTCCTCCAATGCACTCGACTCAGCTGCTTTCAGTCGGAGTTCTTCTGACCGTCGGGGATGTTCACTGTGCGAAAGAGGTTCCTCCTCTAACTCGTGCCACTTCCTCAACTCACTGGCATGCACTCGCCGTGAATCTCCTTGCCGAGCGATTGTATACACTGGGCCTCGCCGGTCGACCACCTCGTACGGTCCCTTCTACTTCGGTAGGCCACAATTTGGAGCGCGCTGATGGTCCCTGTATTTCTCCTTCGAACCGATCGGAAACTCGACACTCATCTTATCACTGTTTGTCTTGAACTTCTCCATCCTCTGCGCCTGAGTTGCCTTCAGGTTACGGTTGGCCGCCTTCCTGTTATCCTGTGGCTCTGTGAGATATTCGGCATGTTGGCCACATTCCATCCTCTAGATTCACAGGTAGGCGAAGTGCTCGACCGTACGTCAATTGGAATGGTAATTTCTTTGTGGAGACCTGTTTGGATGCTCGATGAGTCAGCAACAGCAGTGGCAAAGCTTCCTCCCAGTCTCCACTCTTTGCCGTTAGTCACACTTTATTGTTAGGCTCCGTCAAGCCATTTGGCTGCGGTTGACATGAGGTTGTCCGCACTTTCTTGATATCAAGTTTTTCCAAGCATTTCCGGAATTAGGCAGGCATAACATCGCTGGTAATCTTCGCGAAATGAGTCTCTCCAGCTCCGATATCTTAACGCGAATGGTATCCACATACTTGAGCGCATCCCTCTTCAAGGTTTTTGCGTTTGGGTAGAGGCCACATCGCCGTATTTCCTTCAAAAGTGCTTGGGATAGCAGCTTGCCTGGACACATCCATTGAGGAATTCCAATTACACCCTAGATTCTTGCAGCCGAGTATTGAACTTCAGATACTCATTCAAGAGCTTCAATGAATCACGGGCAATGCTGGTCTTCAACGAATAAAATATTCCCATTTCATTAATATGAATCAATATCAGAAACCCCTTCAAGGTAAAGAATTCCTTTCGATAAGCTCTCATAAGACCAAACGTTTACATAGCACTGATTGTGAGGAAAGCGTCAACTCAGGCTGGGATTGACTTTTGGGCTGTTCGAGCGATGGAAACATCACAAAATCGATAATTAGAGACAGGAATATAGATGGTAAGCCAAACGCAAAAACCTTGAAGAGACATGCACTCAGTTATGTGGATACCATCCGCGTTAAGATGTCGGAGCTGGAGAGGTTCATTTCGCAAACATTTCCGGAATTCCTCACTCTCCAAGCACGTACCCTGGGGTTCCGTGGTCCGCTATCAAATGTTTCATAACGACATGGGTGTTAGCGATCGCCCGTTGATCCGGGATACTCGTTGCTTCACTCTAGCGCGTGAAGTGTCCCATCATCAACAACATGTATTGGTTGTCACGCCTGGTCAATGGAAACGCTCCCATCACGTTGATTGACCATTGTTCACCAATTTCCGATACCGGAATCGACATCACTAGTTGTCGTGCTCATCGGCAGTCGGTTTTCAAGAGCTGACATCTCTTTGCACGAAGGCACGTATGTCTCGACGTCTTTCTTCATGACCGGCCAACAAGCGCGTTGTTTCAGCAGATCGCAGATCCTGGAACAACCGATGTGCGCTATCTCGTGACAAGTAATCACTAACCTCCGCTTTAGTTTCGTCGGAATAACCGGCACCGAAGTGTTGCTACCTCCTGATATCCACATTAGAATTCCCGCTTTATTTACTTGTAGCTTTTCAAGATTTATCCCAAACGCTTCGAGCTGCTTGTGTTGGCTCTTGTTTAGGACTGATTGACCGGTTATTCGTGTAGTGATCACTTTGCGCAAGAGTTTGTTACTACGTTGTTCGGTTGCCGACTGTTCCGGATTCTGCTCCAACAGCATACCATTAACACCGAAAGCCACACTCGGCAGATCATCTTCGTTCATCATGCGTGATAAAAATATACGCAGTTTGGTTCTCCTTCCCCGGCACGTGGGTTATCGTGAAATAGTGTTCCTGTAGGCGCAGTGCCCAACGTGCTAGCTTTCCCCTGGGGGTCTTTGGCAGACTTAATCCATTCTAAAGACTAGTGTTCCGCTCCGACATGAAACCGCTGACCTCAGATATGGCCGTCATTTGTCCAAAGCCCAAACGATTGCGAGACATTATGGCTGAGTATTTGCGTTCTGCCGGTCTCAAAATTCTGCTGGCGTACTAAATCGTCCCATGGTTTTGTTTGAAAACCGCGCCGACCTCAACGTTGCTGGCATCCGTGGCAACCGTGAACATCTCTCCAGCAATGGGCAATTTCAGGGCCAGCTCCTGTCTTCCCATTTCCTGTAGAATGCGATCAAAAGCTTGTTGGGCTTCTGCAGTCCAAGTGAATTTCCTGTCCAATTTCCGTAGCTTGTACAAAGATGAGGCCAAATCGTTGAATTCTTTGACAAATTTGCTGTAGTATCCCACAAGGCCCAGGAATGCTCGGAGAGTGCGCTTTGAGCTAGGAACTGGGGTGCCTTGTATCGTCAATATTTTCTCAGGCAGTGGCTTCAGATCACCTTGTTTCGCTTTATGGCTTAATAAGGTGACACAAGTCTTTCAAATCTGGGACTTCGGTC